TGTGACCTTATACTGTGTGGGGCGTGTGAGTGTGTGTCCTGGCATGTGACCTTATACTGTGTGGGGCGTGTGAATGTGTGTCCTGGCATGTGACCTTATACTGTGTGGGGCGTGTGAGTGTGTGTCCTGGCCTGTAACCTTATATTCCATGAGGCGTGTAGAGAGTGTGTCCTGGCATGTGACCCTAACTCCCTACAGAAAGTGCTTTGTAGCTCATCGGCTTCACTGTAGACTTGTTAGAGATGCAGAATCTTGGCCCCCACTTCGTGACTGAGACTATGCAGCAATTACATGATTCAATATCCATTTCCAGGATGTTTCGAAGTTTTGTCAGCTCTTGACATTAATCTATGTGTGCATGTGTATGTGCGTGTAGATGTGCCCATGCCTGCATGCACGCTGCCTGCACACACTGCCTGTACACACGCCACCCACACTGCCTGCGCATATGCCGCCTGCACACACGCCACCTGCACACGCTACTTGCCCATACACTGCCTGCACACACGCTGCCTGCTCGCACGCCACCTGCACACACGCCGCCTGCACACAATGCCTGCACATGCTGCCTGCACATGCTGCCAGCATACATGCCACCTGCACGCGCTGCCTGCATACACACTGCCTGCACATGCTGCCTGCACATGCTGCCAGCACACATGCCACCTGCACACGCTGCCTGCATACACACTGCCTGCACACACACCACCTGCACATGCTGCCTGCATACACACCACCTGCACATGCTGCCTGCACGTACTGCCTGCACATGCTGCCAGTACACATGCCGCCTGCACACATCACCTGCACACACACTGCCTACACACGCTGCCAACACACACACTGCCTGCATACACATGCTCACTCCTGCCTGTGGCTGGGCTCTGTGTCAATGCCTAGAAGAAATCAAAGAGGTCACTCTTTGCAGGTAATTGCTTCGATTTTATTTTTTCCCAAGGAAGCCAGAGGTCTGACAGGGCCACACACAATGTGCCATTTCCTGCTGTGAGTGTGGAGCTGGGAGGTGTGGAGTGAAAGCCCCGGCCCACTGTTGACGGGCAGCTGGCGGGCAGGTTTGCTGTGCGTGCTGCTGCCTCCCCCATCTTTCCACAGGTAAAGTCACTGAGTGTTGTTTTATACAGACTGTGAAGCCATGGCCCGAAGGTGACAAAATGTGGGTGTCGTGGACACACAGTTTTACCATCAATGTAACAAAGGAATTATTAAAGAAAATAAATTTCCACAAAATAACCTTGAGGCTCTGGGACACCAAGGATAAGGTTTCGAAAAAAGCCAGGTATTATCGATTAAAGACTACAACCTTGCTGGAGGACATAGGATCTTTTGGTAAGTAAGGGATTGTGGCTTTATTTGAAATGTGTCTGGAGGCTGTGGCTTCTTACTAGTACAGAGCAGAAGACAACATCCCTATCTGTTCTTCCTCTAATCTTTGCACACAGGCTGGTTTCCCTGTCAGTGGTGTGTTGTCTCTCTAGGATGTGCTGGGGTGTTAGGAAGTGCTGTCCTGGGGACTGAGGCCTTGGGGTGCAGCGTCCATGGGCCTCTGCCCCCGATGGGCCCTTGTGTCCCAGGGCTGCTCTGATATTCCACAACTAGCCCATCTCTGAACTAGTGTTGTGTGTTCACTGAAAAAAAGAATTAGATAATACTAAGAATCAAAAGAGTCGATTCAAAATCCTTGCCGGGTATGGTGGCTCCCCCCTGTAATCCTGTACTGTGGGAGGATCACTGAAACTCAGGATTTTGAGACCATGTCTCTACTAAAAATAGAAAAATTGGCTCAGCGCCGGTAGCTCAGTGACTAGGGCACCAGTCACATACACCAAAGTTGGCAGGTTGAACCGGCCTAGGCCTGCTAAACAACAATGACAATTGCAACCAAAAAGTAGCGGAGTGTTGTGGTGGGAGCCTGTAGTTCCAGCTACTTAGGAGGCTGAGGCAAGAGAATCGCATAAGCCTAAGAGTTTGAGGTCGCTGTGAGCTGTGATGCCATGGCCCTCTACTGAGGGCAACAAAGTGAGACTCTGTCTCAATAAAATAAAATAAAATAGAATAATAGAAAATTAGTAGGGTGTTGGGGCAGGTATTTGTAGTCTCAGCTACTAGGGAGGCTGAAGCAGGAGAATGGCTGGAGGCCAAGATTTTGAATTTATATTGTTGAAATGACAACTAAGGATTTAGAATATTACATAAATTTACCTGACACAACAATGGCAGAGTTTGAGATGATTGACTCCAATTTAGAAAACCATTCCTCTGTGGGTGAAATGCCATCACACAGCATTGCGTAGTGTAGAGAAATCTTCCCTGAAAGGAAGTAAATTGACATGGGAGACTTTCTTTCTTTTTTTTTTTTTCCTTTGGCCTGGGCTGGGTTTGAACCCACCACCTCCGGCATATGGGGCTGGCGCCCTACCCTTTTGAGCCACAGGCGCTGCCCAGATATGGCAAACTTTATTGTTGTCTGATTTTAAGCATTGCCATAGCCATCCTAACCTTCCTCAACCATCACCCTGATAAGTCAGCAGCCATGAGCATTGAGGCTGCAAAACGATTATGACTTGGCTGGCCACAGTGGCTCATGCCTGTAATCCTAGCACTTTGGGAGGCCAAGACAGGTGGATTGCTGGAGCTCAGGAGTTTGAGACCAGCCTGAGCAAGAGCGAGACCCAGTCTCTACTAAAAATAGAAAAACTAGCTGGGTGTTGTGGTGGGTGCCTGTAGTCTCAGCATTCCACAGAGTGAGACTGTGTCTCAAAAAAAAAGATTATGATTCACCGAAGGCTCAAATGATAGCATTTTTTAGTAAAGAAGTGTTTTGATGGTTACGAACATTGTTTAGGTATCCCATTCCACACTTAATAGACTACAGTGTAGTGCAAGTATAATTTGTACGTGCACCAGGAAAGCCAAAAATTTGCATGACCTATTTGTTGTGATATTTGCTTTATGGCGGTGGTCTGACCGATCCTACAGCATTCCCGAGGTATGCGTATGGTTGAGTCAATGATCCTTTCTTCTTCTGTGTTTTAGAGGAAGTGAAGCATCTGGTTGTAGATCAGAGAAAATTATCTGAGAATGCCGGCATTGTTGCAGAGGAGTTACAACAGGAGCATCCACCAGGAAAACTGGAAAAAGCAGAGAAACGCGCAAAGCCCTGGCGAGGTGAGTGGAGCTGACTCTCGCGGACAGGACGAGTGCCAGACTCTGGCAGGGAAGGTGGTCAGCTGGTCCCCTGGGCAGCCCACGTGCACTGCTGACCTTCCCACGTCTCAGCAGCTGCTACTGCTGTGGTTCACCTACAGAGGCAGCCCTGCTCGTGCTGTAATTTTTGTTGCTGATTTTTTTTTTAACCTAATTTTTGTTTGTTTGGTGACTTACAAAAATTTTTCTGACTGTAGACGTTATATATGTGGTTTGTAGAAAAGTATAAAACCAGCAGGGAAGATAATTTGTAATTCCATTACCAGAAACAATCCATGTAACATTTTTTTTTTT